GCAGAGAGGTCATGTGATAGCGTACGCATCGAGGCAACTGAAGCCTCACGAGGTGAGATATCCCACCCACGATTTGGAGTTGGGGGCCATGGTGTTCGCTCTCAAGATCTGGCGTCACTATTTGTATGGGGTTCGGTGTACCATATACACGGACCACAAGAGCTTGAAGTATTTGATGGATCAGCCCAACCTAAATATGCGCCAGAGGAGATGGTTGGATGTGGTAAAGGATTATGATTGTGAGATCCAGTAGCACCCGGGCAAAGCTAACGTAGTAGCCGATGCCCTGAGCCGTAGGGCGGAGAGTGCCCTAATACGAGACATTTGTATGAGGTTGACGGTGATGACTCCGGTGTTGGATACCATTCGAGGGGCCCAGGCAGAGGCTGTGAGACCGAAGAACCGCAAAAGAGAGCGGGTGATCGGGCAGATATCTGAGTTCGTTACCGATAGCCGAGGGCTTATGACCTTTCAGGGTCGGATTTGGGTGTCGTTCGTGGGCGGGGCACGTACTATTCTGATGGAGGAGGCGCATAGATCGAGGTTCTTGATCCATCCCGGGGCCACTAAGATGTATTTGGATCTGAAAAGAGACTACTAGTGGCCCTGTATGAAGAGGGATGTTGCGTGGTTCGTTGAGAGGTGCTTGACCTGTCGCAAGGTTAAGGCCGAGCACCAGCGTCCGCATGGCAAGTTGCAGCCACTTGAGATTCCCCAGTGGAAGTGGGAACATATTTCTATGGATTTTATCACCAAATTGCCGAGGACCGCGAGGGGTGTCGATGAAATTTGGGTGATCGTCGACCGGCTGACGAAGAGCGCTCACTTTCTTGCTATCAGTGAGAGCTCTTCCGCTGAGAGGCTGGCAGAGTTGTATGTGAGAGAGGTGGTATCGCGGCATGGAGTGCCGATCTCGATTGTGTCGGATCGAGATGTACGTTTCACTTCCAGGTTCTGGAAGAAGTTCCATGAGGAGTTGGGCACGAGGCTGCATTTCAGTACCGCTTACCACCCACAGACAGACGGACAGAGTGAGCGGACGATTCAGACGCTCGAGGACATGCTTCGAGCATGTGTGTTGGACTTCGGAGGAATTTGGGACACGTATTTGCCGTTGGCCGAGTTTTCCTATAAAAACAGCTACCATTCGAGTATTGGTATGCCTCCCTTCGAGTTGTTGTATGGGAGGAGGTGTCAGACTCCCATCTGCTGGGGGGAGGTAGGGCAGCGAGTGATGGGCAACACTGAGATAGTGCTTCAGACGACAGAGCAGATACAACAGGTCATGCAGAGGTTGTTGACAGCTCAGAGTTGCCAGAAGAGTTATGCGGATAGGCGACGGTCCGAGCTCGAGTTCCAGGTGGGAGACTTTGTACTCCTAAAAGTGTCTCCTTGGAATGGAGTGATCCAATTCCGGAAGAGGGGCAAGCTGGGACCCCGGTACATTGGTCCTTTCAGGGTGACCGCTAGGGTGGGCAGGGTAGCATACCGTTTGGAGCTACCTGTGGAGCTGAGCCAGATTCATGATACCTTCCACGTGTCTCAGTTGAGGAAGTGTATTGTCGACGAGACGACAGTTATACCGCTAGAGGACATTCAGGTGGATGCGAGCCTGAATTATGTTGAGAGGCCAATCGCGATTGTGGATCGAAAAATCAAGGTTCTGAGGAACAAGGAAGTGCCCCTGGTTCAGGTCCAGTGGCAACATCGGAGAGGGTCCGAGCTGACTTGGGAGCCAGAGTCAGAGATGCGGGAGCAACATCCGGAGTTGTTTGCGGCATGAGACTTCGAGGGCGAAGTCTGGTTCTAGTGGGGGATAATTGTAACATCCCGAGATTCAGGTATATCCGTTTAACCCTTCCTTCTTTCTAAGTTGTCTTGTTTAGCCCTTAAAAGTAGACCATGGCAAATGAGTACGTTGGGCGTACTAAAGAGTACGCTGCACGTACTCATGGGCGTGTTTTGGACGCAGACTCCACCCGGTACGCTGGGCGTACCTTAGGCTACGCTGGGCGTAGCGGGTCCAGACTCAAAACCCTAAATGAGACTTGAGCCCTATATAAAGAAAGCTATGGCCTTATCCTCAGCCACCATTTGAGAGAGTGAAACCCTAAAAGAGAGCCAACCTTCGTTCTAAGCTTGTGTGTGAGTGTTCTTGAGCTAAAAGTGCCTTTGTGTGTTAGTGAAGAAGAAGAGGAGGTCCTCGTGAAGGCTAGAAGTTGGAGTGCAAGCTTGGATCTGAGTTATACAGAAGGAAGATAATTTGATTTTTTAAATACACTTTAAAAACTTTATTGTCTAATACACAATATTAAACTCATATAATTATTAAAACCAAATCAAATCAAACAAAGAGTACAAAGTTACCTCAATCAAATGTTCTTCGAGCTCCTGATATACATGAAATGATCTCGTCGATTCTGTCAGGATCTTCTTGGAGTTGATCTCATTGTTTCTCAAGCGATGAAGGCATGTCGTGAGGAGAGATGGGAGATAGATCTCCAGTGATGAAGACCCATGGGCAGAGAAAGTGATTGAAATTTTATATCGAGGATGAAGGCCCGAGGGTGGGAGGATGTATAAGATATAGTTATCCAGCGGTGAAATTATTTCATTGGAACCTTTATCAGAATATGATTTAGCATGAGTTGTGGAGTAGATTTCGAGGTAGGGGAGAGATAAATAAAGTGAGATAGAGAGTTTTTAGAACGAGGACATACACACACACACTAATATATTCTTAAATTACACAATTTTTTTTTCAAATAGAACTTGAACACTCGACCTGTAACGTCCTAATTTTAAGAATAAATTTTAAAATTTTAAAACTGGCATAAACACTCATTTTCATAAATGTACATTCAAAGCAAAACCATTTGTTCATAAATCGAAATCCATAAATCAAAGTTATAATGAAAGTATTGTGAAATCTCAAATCGTAAAAGTGTTGATGTGTGTGTATAGTTACACCTTCGCTTCCTCACAAACTGATAAAGTACCTGAAAACTATTTAATCCACAATTGTAATCACAAACCTTAGTGAGTTTCCCAAAGTATCACATACAACACAACATTGTAAACTATATAAAACAACTATGGGTTATCAGCAACCCTGAGTTATCAACAACTCAAATACAACAAATTGGGTTATCAACAACCCCAGACTATCAGTAGCTCACATAAAACAAATCGGGTGATTAGCAACTCCAAAGTATCACATACATCACAACATTGCAAAATATATAAAATAACTATGGGTTATCAACAGCCCTGTGGACTATCAACAACCCTGAGTTATCAACAACTCATATACAACAAATTGGGTTATCAACAACCTCAGGCTATCAGTAGCTCACATACAACAAATTGGGTTATCAGCAACCCCAAACTATCAGCAGTTCACATACAACCAATTGAGTTATCATCAACCCCAAGCTATCAAAAGGTCACATACAACATATAATATAAGTAACACAGTAAGAAAACTCACATGAGCTAAACAAAATAAGCTCTATAACAATCTCAACGATAAAAATAACTACACTGCTACCTAAAGCCAAACCTGAACTAGTCATTAGCTAAACACTAAATTCTACCAAAGTTTAACCAAAAGTCAAATTGGTCAAAAGTCAACGGTCAAAGTCAAGTAAACTCTCCAAACCACCACGTCGTGGCTAGAACCTTGATCACATTGTGGTCTGGCTCAAGCAGATCGCGACAGATTGGACCATCACATCGTGGCAACGCTACCAAATCCAAAACTTCATTAAGCCCTTAATACTTGAAGCCATCCATTCTAACTTTCTAGAAGGCTTCATTGCATCTAAGTGATTCATTAAAATCATAACTTTATGTATATGCATGTCCTCCCCTAAACTTAGGTTAAAAAGTAGAAAGTGGAGTCAAAACCCCATGCATGACATCAAACAAGTGATTTACTAACATATGATGAAATAGGGACCTCATAGAGTGATAAAGTTGCCAACTTTATCAATTTCAATCTTTCAAGAGGACATAACACTAAGAAACTTGCTCGCTTTTTAGATCCAAAGGAAATGAAACATAAACGTAGAGTCTTAAATGCTTACCAAAGTCCAGGACTGAAGAGGAAGTTGCACACTCACTGGATCTAACTTGCTTGCACCTCAACACCTTGATCCTTCCACCAAAATATACCAAAATGCCAAGATTCCCACAAAACACTCAAAGAGGGGATATGGTTTGCTTTTGGGGAGAGGGATGATGGTAATGAGGTGAAACCCTTAGCCAACATGTTGCTTAAATAGGGCACAAAGCATGAACTATAGAGTTTAGGAATCTATCACTGCCACGCCGTGATGAATACTCGACCATATCGTGGTCAATGCTCAAACGTGTTCATCATCTAGATGAAGCGGCCACGTCGTCACCAACATCCTGCCACGTCGTGGCATAAGGTTTTTTTTTTTTTTTTTCCAAAACCTTATCTTTGAAATCCTTAAGTCTTCAACCGATCAAATCAGGAAAACAGGTGTTACACAACCACTTGAATGAAAGGACACCGTACCACCCAAATACCGAGAGAGAGAGAGAGAGAGAGAGAGAGAGAGAGAGAGAGAACCATCATGACACCAATATACCATCGCCACCATCTATGAACGGTCTTTTTGGATGCCTATCATCATCTATCGTCAAAGCAGTGGTGATTATTCTCTCAGCCATACAAGAGTCAACACCTTCAAACATGCAAGAGAGTCCTTACTAGTGTTTATCTTTTTGAAACAAATTGTGAAACGTAACGCATGTTATGTTTTAATTGAAACTTTTATTTGAAAAATTCTTGTATTTTCACAAATATTTAATTTCTAATTTGAACTATGGTTTTATATTTAAAAGGACAAATAAATATTTTGAACTAAAATAATGGAAACTTATTTCGGACCACACAAACATATTTCATTTATTTTGACAAGTAAAGAAAATAAGATTACGGAAGCAAAAAGCAAGAAAAAGATAAGAAAATGGAACGAAAAGGCGGCAAGGCCGGTGCCACTGTCACCGGATTTTTGCCTCAAATTCAACTTTTTTTTTTAATTTTCTTTTCAACAGGCTTCATAATTGTTCCTCGTATATACGCCCTTTCGATCGCCATTGATGTATTCATACCCAAGAACTTGAAGCTTTTCTTCAAATCTCAAATCCTCAAAAAGTTGGAGAGAGAAAAAGCCCCCACCCCCACGTCAAGAATTAAAGAAAATAAAAATTCAGAAAACCAACCCATAAAACCAATTATTAACTTTCTTTTTTGCACTCCTTCCTCTTTCTCTCTCTATAATACTTTGCCAGCTCCGTTTTCGTCTTTCTGTCCTTCTGCCGTTTCATTCTCTCTAAAACCCAGTTCCTGATACTCTTTTTGAAGCCGGAAGCAGTCGAGATCTGAACACAGGTATGTTTGCTGTAATCGATTACTTAACCAACTGATTTCGCCCTAGATTTTCACTCCAGTTACTTAGATCTCTCGCTTTGTGTACTTATTTTGCCATCAACTTATTTTCCAATTGTTTGGATCTTAAATTGATGATCCTCAACTTGAATTAACAGTTTGAGGGTCTCTTTGGCATGAATTATAGTTCGAATTGGGGGAATGATTTCTCTGTTGTTTTGATCTAGTGAGTTTTCTTCTTCTCGATATCGGTGCTTAAGATTTTCGATGGCTGATTAAGATAATTGGTTGGATCTATCGATAGGTGCTAGAGAATTAGTATTTTATTATGGAGCTATGTTTTCAATGCACTATGTCTTCTAGGGTATAAAGTTGGTACATACATTTCGAAATCATATTTTTGCTTCAGATGGATTATGGTGTTGACCGTGCTGTGGACTCGTTCTTGATTTCTGGAGGATAAGTTTTCGAATAGTAATTCCATGGAATCAGGGAAAATTTGTTGCAGATAGAGTTGGATTGGTTATCAAGCATGAAACTTTTGGGATAATTTACCCCGACCTTTTTTATAGGAATCGAGTGTTAAACATGCCCAATATCACGAAATCTTGTGTAGGGTTCGACAAATTCAAGAACATTTGGGGATTTTGATATAGAATGTGACAATACCTGGCTTATGTGTTAGCTTGTTAATGATGCTTTTTGAAACTTACATTCTTTAGTTACTTTACTCTTGTTCGAGTTATCAAGTATGCTGCTGCATCTTATTGATGATATGCAATAGATATTTTAAGATAATTGTTGAACATTTAATGTGAAAGAACAATGTGTAGAGAGAGAATAATGGTTTAAATTTTTAGTTCTCATAGCTTACATAATCTAAAATTAATTACATTGTATATATTCAAATGAACTGCTTAAGCATCCTTTTGCATTATGTGATTAAGTACCACAAGGTCATTTGATGGCTTGTGAGGAGAACCATGTTTCATATGCTATGACCTGTTTTTTTTCTTTATCCTCATGATTTGAGTTAATTTGGAGGTTTACTTTTCTGTATATCAAATTATAAGTTACAAATCTTAGTATTCATGCTTAAACATGGGAGAAATGATGACATGATCTTGCGCATGATATTTATTTTACTGATGTTGAATCTACACTGTGCTTAGTAATATATTATAATAGTTGTATGCGATTTATAGACATTAAAATCAAGTACACGGTTGATAATGATAAATTGATAATTTCTTTTTCTAATTTCTTGTTAGGCGCTCACATAAATATTTTTCCCTTAATCATCATTTTGTTATTATTAAACAATTTTTTTTTGACTATTTTGATAAATCCTTATAAAGTTTTGAAACCAAACAGATTTGTTTAAGTTTTAAATATTCCAGACCGGTTATCATCCATTTCTTTTCCTGTTATGAGTCGATAGTGAAACATTTTTATTAACATTACATTTCGGCATTATATATTTGTCTAAATTTAACTCAATTCAATGTAAGAATTTTTACATAATTATATACTCCATTACAACAAATAATAAACAGTAGTCTCTAGAATCGGCATACAATTTCCTTAAAAGTATATTGTTGTAAGAAACATCATTTTGAATTGGATATGAAAACTCTACATTCCTTATATTATGATTTTTAAACTATCATCACCCGAGCAAACACACGAGCACATAGCTACTTATACTAAATGAAAGAAATACTTTTTTTTTTTTCATAAATTCAGAGTTGTCATACCTTCTTTTTACAAGTATGCTAATGATATTTCTATTTTTATTTAGATCTTTGCAGTGATTTATTTATAAAGATTACATCACAAGACTCTGTCTTTGTTTAAAGAAGAAGATACAATCTAGAACTTTACACCATGTCTGGCTCTGCAAAAACTCTTGAACCTGCATTCCAAGGAGTTGGTCAAAGAGTGTATCCTTCAATTTCTTTCTTTTAAACCATATAAAAGATTTTTTTTCCCATTACCTACAAAAAAAATATATTTTTTATTAAATGTTCACTTAACACCTTATAGAGGGACTGAAATATGGAGAATCGAAAACTTTCAGCCAGTACCTTTACCAAAGTCCAATTATGGAAAATTCTACTCTGGCGATTCATACATTGTATTGCAGGTGCTAATAATAATAATATCCAAAACTCTTGTTATTTTCCTTATATATATTTTTATCTCAAAAAATTATTTCTTTTTTACACACACACTCTCATATATATGTAGACTACTTCTGGGAAGGGAGGTGCTTACAATTATGACATACATTTCTGGTTGGGAAAAGATACTAGCCAGGTAAGTTATATGTTATAAGTACACCCTGCTATTTTTTGAATAATATAATGTTTTGTTAATTGGTGTTAATTTATGAAATAAATCAGGATGAAGCTGGAACTGCAGCAATAAAAACGGTTGAACTTGATGCATGTCTAGGTGGTCGTGCAGTTCAATATAGGGAACTTCAAGGTCATGAATCTGATAAATTTTTATCATATTTTAAACCATGTATTATACCACTTGAGGGAGGTGTTGCATCTGGTTTTAAAGAAGTTGAAGAAGAAGAGTTTCAGACACGATTGTACACTTGTAAAGGAAAACGTGTTGTCAGATTGAAACAGGTCTGTAAAATTACCAAACTACCCTTAATAATATATATATTTATTTGGTTTTGATGATGGTTGTTTATTCAGGTTCCTTTCTCTCGATCCACATTGAACCATGATGATGTGTTTATCTTGGACACTAAAGATAAAATTTTTCAATTCAATGGGGCGAATTCAAATATACAAGAAAGGGCAAAAGCATTGGAAGTTATTCAGTTTTTGAAAGATAAATATCATGAAGGGACATGTGATGTTGCAATTGTTGGTAAGTCAACATACATGATTATTAAATTAACATATATATATATATATATATATATATATATATATATATATATATATATATATTGTCATATGTTATTAATAAATTAATAACATTTTCAGATGATGGAAAGCTACAAGCGGAAGGGGACTCTGGTGAATTTTGGGTTATTTTTGGTGGGTTTGCTCCAATTGGCAAAAAGGTTGCAAGTGAAGATGATATAATTCCAGAAAAGACTTCTCCAAAACTTTATTGGTATAATTATAATATATGATTAATGGATTAAATGGCATAAATGATGCTTATTTTTAATCGTCTTTTTTGCAGCATAAGTGAAGGTCAAATTAAGGATGTAGATGGTGAACTTTCCAAATCTTTATTGGAAAACAACAAATGTTATCTGCTGGATTGTGGTGCAGAGGTGTTTGTGTGGGTTGGAAGAGTAACACAAGTGGAGGAAAGAAAAACTGCCATGCAAGCTGCTGAGGTAAATCTAAATCTCTAAATTCAAATACTTATTGTTTTTTGTGTATAAGTTATTTATTTCTATTCTCACATTATTTGAAACAATTTTAGGAGTTTATTGTGAGCCAAAATCGGCCCAAAGCAACCCGTGTAACTCGACTTATTCAAGGGTACGAGACACATTCGTTCAAGTCAAACTTTGACTCATGGCCATCTGGTTCAGCACCTTCCGCCCCTGAAGAAAGTAGAGGAAAAGTAGCAGGTAAATTAAATAATTAGATATAAACATCCCTATTCTTTATTCACAATCTGTTATTACTTTTGATGGTTTTTATAACACTAGTTGTAGTTATGGTGTTATTTTTGTATATTACTAGCTTTGTTAAAGCAACAAGGAGTTGGGCTGAAAGGGTTGGCTAAAACTTCTACTGCAACCGAAGAAGTCCCACCTTTGCTTGAAGAAAATGGGAAAATTGAGGTGTGGAGGATTAATGGCAATGCAAAAACCACAGTACCCAAAGAAGACATTGGTAAATTCTACAGTGGAGATTGCTACATTGTTCTTTACACTTACCATTCTAATGAAAAGAAAGAAGATTACTATTTGTGCTGTTGGATTGGCAAAGATAGCATCGAGGTAACCCTTGACAACATTCAATTCAATTCAATTCAATTCAATTCATTTCTTCTTCTTCTTCTTCTTCTATCTGTGTACTTGTGTTGAAGTGACAATAACAAGAAGCAAATCTTGTAAACATCAGGAGGACCAAAACATTGCTGCTCGATTGGCTACTACAATGTTCAATTCACTCAAGGGAAGACCAGTTCAGGGTCGTGTATTTCAAGGGAAAGAGCCTCCACAGTTTGTCGCCATCTTTCAGCCTATGGTTGTGTTAAAGGTAGGTACATGCGTCGTCACATTTTTAGTTTTTTCAAATATTTTGCTGTGCTATTAGATTCAGATGGAAAATGTTGTGTTATTAGGGTGGATTGAGCTCTGGATACAAGAACTCCATTGCAGACAAAGGATTGAATGATGAAACCTACACTTCAGATGGTGTAGCCCTAATTCAGATATCTGGAACTTCACCCCATAATAATAAAGCCGTTCAAGTAGATGCGGTATGATTATGAGCCCCTTTTGGAATTGCGTGCGACTTGTTAAAATTAGGGCTAATGAAATTTGTTTGTTTCAGGTGGCGACCTCATTGAATACTTATGAATGCTTTCTTCTTCAATCTGGTTCTTCATTGTTCACTTGGCATGGAAACCAGAGTAGTGTTGAACAGCACAGCATAGCTGCAAAAATCGCTGAATTTTTGAAGGTATGATATGAAGTTTTTGATGATAAGTTTGAATCGTATCGTATCTTGTTTTTATTTTGTCTTCTTGTCCAGCCTGGCGCCACTGTGAAATTTGCTAAAGAAGGAACTGAAAACTCAACTTTCTGGTTTGCCCTTGGAGGGAAACAAGGCTACACCAGTAAAAAAGCAGCACAGGAATCCGTCAGAGATCCCCATTTGTTTTCATTCTCTTTCCATAAAGGAAAGTTTGAGGTGAATTCTTAACTTTTCATTTCATTTCATATACAACACTCAAATCACTCGAAATGGAGATCTAAATCACGGTTTCTTTCTTTCTCTCGTCCAGATTGAGGAGATCTACAATTTTTCACAAGACGATCTGTTGACAGAAGATGTGCTGATCTTAGACACACACGCGGAGGTGTTCATATGGGTTGGTCAATCCGTTGACTCCAAAGAAAAGCAAAATGCGTTTGAAATTGGCCAGAAATACATCGACTTGGCTGCATCTCTTGATGGATTATCTCCATGTGTACCCTTATACAGAGTTACAGAAGGAAACGAACCTACCTTCTTCACAACATTCTTCTCATGGGACTCTGCTAAAGCTAATGTCCGTGTCCTTATTTTTCCATTATCATATAAAATTTTCTATCTAATAAACAATTAATTAAAAAAAAATTCTTACCTTCTTCCTAGGCTCATGGGAACTCATTCCAGAAGAAGATTTTGCTACTGTTTGGATTTGGGGGAGGCCATGCTTCTGCTTCTGAGGTAAAGTTGGAACTCATCCTACTTGTTGTTTATGGTTTTGTTTAAGGATTGTTTTTGGTATCATCTATCACAGGGTCAAGATAGGTCAAACGGGGGTCAAAGTGGGCCCACTCAAAGAGCTTCAGCATTAGCAGCACTAAACTCTGCTTTCAAATCATCTCCGACAAGCGCCAAATCATCATCAGCTTCACCAAAGGTACCAAGTCGGGGTTCACAGAGAGCAGCTGCTGTTGCTGCTTTATCTTCTGTTCTTACAGCTGAAAAGAAGGGTGCATCTGATGGTTCACCTGTCAGGCCCACCAGAAGTCCACCATCTGAAGGCGGCTCAGCCACCAAGGCTGAAGAAGGTTCTGATGGTTTGGAGAGTAATGAAGGTTCAGAAGTTACCATGGAAACATCTGAACCAGCAGTTCAAGTTCAAGAAACCAATGGAAGAGGAGGAGGAGGAGGAGGAGAAGATTCAGCACCAAAGAATGATGAAAACGAATGTGAGAGTGTAGACAGTCAAAGCACTTTCAGTTATGAACAGTTGAGGGCTAAATCCGAGAACCCGGTAACCGGTATCGACTTTAAGAGAAGAGAGGTTAGTTTTGTAATTTCACACAACTGTAAAGTCTATTACGGGAATAAGTAACATTGTTGGTTTGTTGTTTGGTTTAGGCTTATCTGTCAGGTGAAGAGTTTGAGGGTGTGTTTGGAATGGCAAAAGAGGCGTTCTACAAGATACCAAAATGGAAGCAGGATATGCTGAAGAAGAAGGTGGATTTGTTCTAGGAATTGAAAACAGTGGTGGGGAGATGATGATATGATATGATTCTTTCAATTCTTAGTTTTTGATTGTGTTGGTGGTGTTACCAGTTATGATGCTGGTGGTTATAGGAGGAGTTAGTGATATAATGGCCTTGAGTAAAGAGTGATTTTTTTGCCTCTCTTTTGATGTTATGATATATGCTTTGATTGCTGGTTGTTAGATTTGATTGGGTATGTAATCTGGGTTTGAGTTTGTTTGTGGGATTACTTGCTATTTATTGTTGGAGAAAAAGTAAGACTGTAAATGTGATGTGATGTGATGTGATGTGATGTGATTGTTTGTATTTTGAATTCAGATATTAAGGGTTAAAAAAGTTTGTTGTTTGATATTTATCATATCATGTATGTCCTTTCTATTTGTCTTGTGTACTTTTGGCATTTTGACACAACTTAATAACAGGATTTACACATGAATCTTTTTTTTAGACTTGGCAAACATAATAATGGGTTAAACATTTAATATGGACATTTTTTGCTTGATAAAATGGCTCGATGAGTGAAGTAGAAAATACCGACTGAATTTATTATGACATCTACCATGTACCTATTTATTGTTTTCTTTTTTCCACTGTTGAAACCGATGAATATTTTTTGTTGAAATATAAGAATAAAACTGTCGTTGTCTACCCACTTAGGTGAACATCATGTTGGTGTCTAAAGTACCACCGACCCATTACTTCATACCATATGCAAAAACAAAACCTCTCAAGTCACATCCATTACTATCACATAAAACTTAACTCATATTTTGATATGATTTGAGACCATATGTTTTTATTTCATCAATCTTGATGTGTTTTATGTAAAATTGGATTATAAGGAATGTTAAGTTGTTATATAGTTATATCATGACGATCACTACAAGCATGAAATCATAAACCAAAACACAAAGAATATGGATGGAAACCTTTGTGGGAAAAACCAAAAGGCACAAAAACCTGTAAATAAAATCGACAATGAGAAAGGTATTACTTGCACAAAAGTTGACTGAGGGGAGGGGGAGTAAGAGATAATGGAATGACTAGAAAGATTGTATCTATAGTATTGTAAAAGAGTCCTAAAGATCATAGAACTTTTTTTTTTCATTAAAATTTAAAATTGATAATTTTGAATTCATTAATCATTAGGTGGGTCGCATCCCACCCATGGCCCCTTCACCACTTTACAAGCCCAAGCTTTTAAAATTAAAAATAGATGGTAAAACCGCCATTTTTACAAAAAAAATTAACGTTTTTTTAAATAGTAGGTGTTAAAAAACGGAAAACATTCAAATTCCATGAAATGACTAAATCCGAATTTTTCATCAAATCAGCAACATGATGAAAACTCTAACTTACCCTATATCCCGATCAAGCATCTCGTAACGAGGGAATATATAACAAAGGACCAAAATGGTAAATCAAAATGTATAAAATTAAAGGAATTTTTTTTAACCTTTCGACTGTAATTAAAGTTTTTATTATTGTGTAGCAGTTTTATTTTTCTACGCTTGATGATAAAAAAAGAAAATGGGAACAGTTTCTTTTGTGGTATTACGATTTACGCATGCACTCTTTTGACTATTCCTTTGTAGTGGACCACGTAGGAAACTTCTCTATAGTGGACTCTTAAACCTTTCCAATTTTCTAAAACAATTTAGAATTTGAATAATTGTGTTTTTTTTTTTTAAATAGATGAAACAATAAAAACCACAAAACGCAAATAAGGTGTACACCATAAAATTCGAATCTCCAAATTAACTCATTTTATTTCATTATAGTAAGTGATACATATTATAATTTAATACATATCGTCTTCAGTGTTTTAGTTCACATATGATACTATATATATTTATAAAAACTATGTCTTGTTTGTGGGAATGGTGCCAAATATTTGGTTTGTTATTTGTTAAGAGAAATTGCTTATATCTCTTTACTTCATTCGTAAATTTATGTATGCAACAACATATTACCACTTTGTTTATTATTGGAAAAAGATATAGCTAATGTTCATTTTATAAGATTTAGCGATAGAAATTTAGTTTCTCTAATATTAAGTTATAGTTCAAAAAATGTACGCGTAAAAGCGAGAAAGAGGCAGCTTCATAGAAGCACGAGAAAGGCTAAAATTAAACTTAATGCAGAAGCAGAAGCACAACCCCAACAAGAAAAGAAAGTTGTTCCACGTGCTTCTACTCATCCATATCATTTATTTCGGAGTCAAGTTAAATAACTTTACATATATATTCCATCCACCCACACTCATATATGTATATTAATAATAAAAGTTATTTAAATTCATTCACTTTATTAAGTTTATTTTTTTAGATTTGTGGAGTTTATTTGATTTGAATAATGATATTTTATAAACAAAAAATTCTAACAGTTTACCTTTAAATAATAGGGTTTTAAAACATTTGTCTTTTATTAGAAAAATAGTCTTTTACCAATTTATGATATTAGCCCCTTTATTTAATTATATGTTAATGCACATTTTGTTCTATGTTTATGTTTATTATTTAAAATAAATATTTATTCAACTTATTAAGAACATTTATATATAATCTTATAAATGAATGATAATATGATAAAGAGTAAAATAATACTACGTATTAAATAGTAAAATATTCTATCAAATTTGTGAAAAAGGAAGAGTATTACAATTTAAAAGAGGCGTAACAAAGCATGCACCAACGAGCAACCAGCCAATCAATGCAAGAGGACCTTAATGTTTTGCTGGCAAAATCATTATTTCACGGGCCAAGAATAAGATTTCTCATATTATATATATTACAAATAATATAATATATAACATTTTTAATGTATATATGCTAAATGTTAGAAAAAATAATTTGTACCTTTTCATATAGTCTCTATTCACCAAAATAGTCAACAATCCGTGTAGACAGTGGAATCTATGGGAAATGAACAAATGTGGTTCATAATAACTGACTCAATTATATCCGTGTCGTTATTTTCACGCCATACAATCGTCCGATTTGTCATTGCCGACTCAGTGAGTGACCTAGCTTCCCGTATTGACTCGGATGACGTCACCAGACGAATGGTCTTGAGGGTAAACTCGTTCATGGCGAGACGACTGAGCATACCTGACTCGGTGACTGAGTTCTTTCTTTTATTGTGTGGCTTGTTTGTGGTAGCTCTGACAATCTCCGTCAGCATTGCGGCGGACAACCGTCGGACTCCACGAACTCCACCCATTATCACTGCGGGGTTGATTGTATTTGTTTTTTGATGGGTATTCTCTGAGTTCTTAGGGCGGTGTCTGGCTGAGAGAGGTGGTGATGGTGGTGGTGTTGATGACAAGAAGACTGACTCGGGACTCTGGTTTTTGACTCGGCTGAGCGGGTCTCCGAGTAGTAAAACTTTTTTTACGTCAACCAGCATCACGTGCTTATAACTCCGGCGAACCCGCCCCAATATCATTGGATAAGACGCCCACCTTCGGAGACTCATCGGGAACGTGGTCTACGAACCCGGATAACGAGTTTCCGGATCAAGCTCGCCGACACCAAAGCCTACAACCGATCCATAACTTATCCGAGTTGACTCAATATGATCAGTTTCACCACAATCATGTAAACTCGAATTATTGGTCTTCAATTTTCCACCCCAGATTGGCTCTCCTTTCTCCCTTACCTTCTTGCCGGATTTCACGAACTGAGTCAGGTCGAAGCTCGCCGGAAAATCCAAAACTTTACTTCCGTTGCACAGTTCTGCTTTGTACCTTCCGATGATTTTCAGGAAGAAGTCGTTCTCTTCCAGAATCACAACGTCAAAAGACTGCGGTGTTGAAATCGATGAGAATATAAATACAAGGTCGGAATTTGAAGCTAAACCAGACCTGTGAAATGCTCTCACGAACAATTTAAGATCTTTTGTTGTCACAGACTCTGTAACGTGGCAGAGTAGGAGGTTGTTCATGGCGATTGTTCCTCGTGTATACAGAGTGCCCAATCCTTGTAATGCACGTGAATTTGATCTGAGTGTAGTGTGAGAGTTGGGAAGACGAGATGATATGAAGTTGTTGTTGGGTTCAAAAGTTGAGAGAGTGAAGAGAAAGAGCATCAAGAAGATGAGCAGAGCACAAATGTAGATGGTGGATTGAGCTCTTCTGAGAATTTGACTGGAATTCATGCGTTTGAAAAGGGTGTTAACTGTGGGAAATCTGAATGGTGATAATGACGATGAAGGTGTGGAGGAGCTTAAATCTTGTTGATGTTCTTCAGGGAAGAAAACAAGGAATATATCCATTCCCCATCCCTCACCACCACCACCACCGACGCCGCCGCCGTCATTTTTCTTCTTGATTTTTCCGGTCAATACCATTTTCTCTAGATTCCGATACTCCTCTGTTTTGTAGAATTGGATAGTTCTTTCTGATCCCCTCCGTGTGTCTTTATGTGATTTGAATGTGTTGGTTTCTGTGGAATAGACTATAGAGTTTGTGTTATCTTCATGATTCTTTTCTCATTTTGGCATGAAATACCGACAAAGGATAGTAAGTGTCAACTTACCAAATTTAGTACAAGGTAAAATTCAATTTCCATTAAACAGTGGGTCGTAGGTCCAACTGTTGCACGGGTAGTTATTGACAATGTATTGAGAGCGGGCAAAAGATGTAATGCACATTAAATTTTATTTAGTACTTTTATGTAAAAACATGTGAATAGTTGTTACACAGCTTTTTTGTTATTATTATATTTCACTTTTTTATAATAAAAATAAAACAATGAATATGACAAGGAAAAATTGAGATTTTATGTTTAATAACAACTCCTATATCTAAAATATATAGCAACTAATATGATTTTAGTTTCATTTGTGACGTGCTAACGATCCGATTGAATGGCCAAGCACAATTATAAAGCACACAAAGTAAAAACAAAAGTTCAATGTGAATATTCTATAATAAAATTCAAGACCCTCTAAAAGCATATTGTAAGGGAAATCTTTAAAGGAAAAGAAAATAAGCTTCTTTTCTATAATAATGTATTTCGAAATTGACTAAGATAAGATCCATAAAAAAATTATATAAATTAAACAATACTAGTAAAAACATAAGCCAATAAAATAATAAAAAACTAAAAAAAATGAGAAAAATCTACTAGAAAACTTGAGTAAAATTTTATGTCTCTCAGTTACATTTTGAGATCTTGACATCATATCCTCTCATATCCTCCTCCAATCCACCACCTTAGGACAACCCATCAAACCCTAATCTAATCGACCATGCTTATACACCATTGACATAATATTCGAAAATCTCATATAAGAGGCAAAACTGTTGGCTCGCTATACATGTCCATTAGTGAGCACAATGTTTGTTGAGATGCAATCCTTATAAGCTTTAGCCATCATTGAGGGAAGTTGCACCCTCTTTTGGGACATTGATTGTCAATGACTACTTGATCCGCACGAGACGAGGGTACATCCGTTCACCTCGTTTAAAAACAAGTTTGGATAAGGTATTTCATTCCATTTAAATGAAATGTGTTGGCATGACACTATACAAAAATAAAATAAGTAAAGTTAGGACATAAAACGAATGTCTCTTTTATAGCTATGACAATATAGTTTTGTACCACTTGGTTTATATGCAATGCATGGCTAACTTTTATTATTTAAACGACAAAAATCTATATGCATAATCAAACATGAACTCAAACTCACTAAGTCGTAGACTTATCTCTAATTCAATTTCTATGCAACCAAGAGATTTAGCATGGCTTGTAGCGACATTAAGGGTAATAGCTAGCCCGTGCATTTGGGGTTCTAAACATGGCCATTAGTTATGCAACACCATAACGGGAAATTCCCTATATATATTGTGACTTTATTTATGCAATATTAAAACTATTATTCTGAATTTATGATATAATCTTAAGAGTTGGTGAGATTTGTCACAACTTGTTTAAAATCTAAAATATAATCTCAACTTAGATTGTTTTTTTTTAAAGAATTATCATTATTTTTAGAAAATAATACTTGATATTTTACATGTATTGAGTACATTAATTAAAAAGTTGTTATATTTGAATATGTAATAAAATTACTACTTTTTTATTTTCTGTTTTATTTAATTTTTTGTATCGGTTTTGGAGAAAGGAGAACAAATAGGGCTTATTAAAGAAAAAGTGAAAGTTGGAGGGTGTGAAGGTTAATATGTTTTTCACGTGGGAGATTATATAAAAAAGATTTGAAGATTTAATTTCTGTATGGGTTTTGGGCCTTTTGGCCTTTCGAGTCCTTTCGGTTTTACTGTTTGACTGTAAATAAATGAATAATAATAGAGAGGTAAAATTGTACAAATAAGTGAGCTAATGGTACAGGTCTCGTGATGCATCGTCGGTGGGTGAGGAGAATCCCATCAAAAAATCTTTGATAACTTATCATAGATTTTTTAAAATAACTTATAACTTATTAATTATATTGACAAATAAATAACTTGACATTGCAAGATTCGATTATAAGCAAACGATGTTCTCGAACTAGAAGTTAGTGATTAGATTAAGGTATCAAAGGGTTAAATGATGTCATCTTAATTTACAAATGTGATAGATGTTGAATGATGTCATCCTCTCTAATAAATGAAAGTTTTTTTTTTTTTTTGATACTTGTCATTCTTACATTAATTTGGATACATGTCATTTTTTGTTATTTTTGAATAAATGTTTTTTCCATTTGTCATTTTTATATTTTTTTAATTAACAAATCAAATTTACACATCAGTTAATAATTGCCTTAATTAAAAATAGTCAATAATTACAATATTAATACTTATATATTGTATTTAATATGTTTCCTTTTAAATTCAAATTTTAAATTTTAAATTTCAAATCTAAAATTTCAAATTTAAATAAATTTTTGTTTAAACCTTCATATATATTTTTTTGTTTTACTAAACTCGTATAACATACAGGTCTCACAACTAGTTCTTAATAAAACACTCCTATAATCGCCACATGGCAACTTTTTATACTATGTTTCTGCCACGTGACCGATTTCTACACCCTCACCTTATGGTTTTCCCGCTCAAAATTTCTTCTACGTCTATCAATTAATTAATTCCTATTTTTAGGGCTATAAATCAGGTTTGTAATCAGCGAAATTTGTGAATTGATTACGTCGATCCATTCCTATTTCTTTTGGAGTTCGCATAAAGTCAAACTTCCCTCGGTGTTATCACCAATATTATCCTCCAATTCCATTCCATATTGATTTAATTTTTAAAATTTGAATTCTGCTTCCCCCAGAACTCGACACGTCCCTTTAGTGTTTTGAATTCACCCTGTGCAGTCCCTTCTTCCCTGTTGGTCTTCTCATGTGGTTTTTTAAGGGGGTTTTGGTTGTGGTTCAATATAATGTTGGTTTTTCAGTTTCTCAATATTCTCTCTACCTGTGTCTATGTTCATTCCATTCGTACACATGTACATACTATGATATCGATCTATAATTTGTTTTTTCTTTTACATTTTGTTTTAGCATTTGCAGCTATTGGAGAGATTTCTCCTAAAAATGACGGGATTTTTAGCAACTTCCAGGTTTGTTTGACATTTTGGTGAACTTGATTTCATTTTGTTCTTAACGATTTATGAGTAGATTTTGATTTTTGTTCCAGTATCTCTGCACATAACCTATTCATTTTCTTTGGCATCCTAGAAGTATTGTAAATATGGGGACTTTAAATATTTTCCGATTTTGAATCTTGGCCTTCGGCCTCTGTTCTTGCCTCTATTATTATCGCAAACGATTGTCAATCCTCATTTATTGATGCTTGCTGAGAAAAAAGTAAATTATATTGATACTTACTGAAAATTCCGTCTTTTCCTAACAGCAAAAGGTTGGTGAAGTTAGTTAATCAAATCTATCAATAAATGCTCAAAAGATGCTATTTATCGCCCTTGATTTCACAAAGTATAAGGCATAAAAAAAGAGATAGATAGGCCATGAGAGAGATGAATAGAAGGAATCATGTTTCACGTTAAGACTTACAAAGCAAGTTTACTTGCATTTCAAAGATCATGTTTTGTGTTTGGAAGTTTTGGTCTTTTTTGCTTTTGCAATTTAGATTATTAGTATATTTTGCTCAGTTTAGTAAGTTAACTTGCATTTCATGTTAAGTGATGGGTATTTGTAGTGAGATCAGAGAGGATTGAAAGAAAAATGATGCAATTGTATGACTACAAGTAAAAATGAGGTTTGATTTTTATTTTGAAACTAGGTTATAATCTGTGTGTTACACGGTTGAAGATAAAATTATTTTATATACAACTTTAAACCAATATTTTTATATAATAATTGGTGTATATTGGTATGTTTATAATTATTATGTATAGATAATATTTAAAATGGTTAGAACAATTAAATAATGTTAATTTGATCATCTAAGTTAACAACCAACATGTTAATCATTTGAAAATGACCATTTTGTCCTTGGACCAAAACTGGATGTACTTTCATTTAATAATGTATTTAAGCATCTTACTTTCATTAAGATTTTGTGTGGTTATGTGTTTACAGGTTCAGAAATAGGAGGGCATTGTGGTCGTGCCTATCATTTTGAGAACGGTTTTGATTCGGATCTAGAAACACCATAAGGAGTTTCAGATTGTTGTTGGTATTTTAGTTGTTAATTCTATTTGTTTTTCTTTTGTTGTAGCATGTAGCTGTCTTGATGGGCATAATACCTTCTTTTTTGTTGTTATTAACAATTGTATGAGTTTGATACAGGTTTCAATGGGGGAAAAAAAAGAGTAACAAGCCTAAATGTCTGATGTGAGGTAAAAAAAAAAGAATTTTTGATCTGGTTTCGTGGTAAAAAAATGTCAGGTTTGATCTCTGATGTGAGGTCAAGTATGATGCAATATCAAAAAAATGTTTCAAAAATAGCAACGTTGTTTCTGAAATGGCAGTTTTAATGGCAACATAGTTTCAATTTTTATTTTTTTTTATGTCTATTAACAACAACATACTTTCTAAAATGGTTGTTTTTATAACAACATACTTTCAAAAAAATGTTTTTTTTTATTCTTAATGTTTATTTATAGCAGCACACTTTCTGAAATGTTAGTTTTAATAGCAACCCACTTTAAAAAATTGTTTTATTTTTTATTTTTGACGTCGATTAGTATCAGGTCAGATGCGATTTTTTTTCATAATATGTTTTTTTCAAAATATTCATGAAATGGCAATATGGAATTCTACCATTTTGGCAATCTACTTATGTGGTTATGTTATGTATTATTGTGTTAATTTCGGGACTTTGATAATTTTCCATATAAGGTTACCTCTCAAGACGTCACTTATTTAGTGGTCTGGTCTCGCTC